TGGAATCCAGTAGACGCGTGTTTCGTCCTATTTGAATGTATCAGTATCCCAGAGTTGATGTACATTTCGGGACTCGTACTGAGTACCTTTCGATTCAAACTACATCCATCTACCTACTGAGTCCACAAAAACGTTGGTACAAATCGGCTGCTTAAATATTCATGCACCACACAAATTATTGGATTTATGAGTGGGTTCCGATGTCGCCCTAAACCCCCTAACCTAAGTAGGTGGTTTTCTTAGGGATCTACACCCTGAGTATTTGACTCAGAAATTTGAATTCATAAGGCAGTGAAGTAACATCAAGAGATGCGGTCCCGTGACAATTAGTGGCCAACAATAAGTTCATGCGCGATTTATTCCGTCTGTGCATCCCATAAGCACTATTGGTTAGGAATTATGGCTTTCCAACTCAACTAGGTGGATCTTATGTACCCGCACACTACTCTAAGCACTGGACGTTTACTTTTCTTCCTCCCAGTTTCGTAACTAACAACGCCGCCACAAGAAAGCAGCGAGTGGGACTTCCCTGTTCGTGGTAGTATACTCATGGACACTTGAAATCATTTCGAGAGAGTGTAATGCCTCCACATATATTCCAGTTCTCTTACATCTAACTTGGTTAAGCCCTTTCGATTAATTTATGTAACCAAGCCATTTGTATAGCAACAACTAATATGTACCATAGGTATTTTTTATTATCTGGTTTGTATGAGCTTATACGACTGAGCACTGTTTACGCCTACGCGCTTACTCATCCTTTCCGCTTGAATGTTAATTTCTTAATATCTCCATGAACTCACATGATTTGTATCGCTTGCTTTTGACCTTGTCAATCATTCGTCGCTTTTATTCATGTGTGTGCATACCTATTTCGCTTGTCACATGTCGGTCTTATTTATGCCTGACTATATATTCTTAGTCATACTCTATCTCTTTGAGTTGGCTCTTTGCGTTCTCCAACGCGCTTCGCCTATCCATTCGCTTCCTTCGTTTTATTCACTGCTTCTCCGCTTCGCTTTGTGGTGTGTTCCGAATACACGTATTCATCAATACGAGTTCATCTTCTGATTTATAAACCGAGCTTAAGAACACGCATTAATTCGACACACTACAAGAGTAATCGGTCTCTCCCCACTCTCAACCATAAGAGAGCATTTTGGGGCCAACCAACATCCATCTCTGCTTAAAACGCCTCTGACGTAACAGCAATATCAAAGCAATCTGTACAGAACTTACAAAAGTCAAAAGTGACTGACTAATGACTGTCGTAAACATCAATGGCAAACTTCAAACAGTGAAAACCAGTTCAATGATTATTTCAATTGGAAAAAACGCTTGACCTTTAACGAATTGAGCACATACTTGAATAACACGATTGCACTAATATTTATGATCAAAGGCTCGAAATTTATATCTAACAGTTAGTTCATAAACAAACTGCAATCGACTTAATATCAGCTCAACACGAAAGTCGCCGATGGTTAGAGACTTTGAATGACATTACTCGAAACCGTTTGCAATCGCTCAGGTGTATTCATTCTTTGTGTTCTCTCAAATTCTAATCTACTGAATTCCTCATCATCTCTATCTTTCTCTTTTTAAATTTATCTCACTGAATTATACTTCTCGAATCATATCTTCGAACCCTAATATTCTCCATTACTGCTAATACTTCTACTATCTCTACCACTATGTGATTTGAACTGACAGTTACGTCTCTGTGCTGATGCAGTATAGCAATATGAACTTACGTATTCATGTACGAAGTCCTACGTTGTAACTGACTAACTGACAACACCGTTCTATGACAGAATTGAACAAATGACTTCTTTACATTTCAGTACACAGAACTACTTTGAATTAGTAAGTAATATAAATTATATTACTAAGTTTAGAGGACCTGGATTTGACTCCGAATTTTACGAACAACTGATTATGCTTTCAAATACATACCTCATTTGATTTCTGTGTATAATACTTAAGTGAACACCGTTTGTGAGATGGCGGTGATTAGCATCCCAATAACATCTTATGTGGATGAGTTCATTTCATACATTCATTTACGCAAACAGGCAACAGAATGCAAAGCGAAGCAAAGTGAAGTGGAGAAGGCTAGTGAGCCAACTACTCAGTGTGATGAGGTATGAATAAGTATTTGTAATCAGAGAAAAATAGGCTAAAGCCATGTGATAATCGATCCAACGGAGGAAGAAATTATGAAGAAGCACTGGAAGTGGATAGGACACATATTGCGCAAAGCACCTAACAGCGTCACATGACAAGCCCTCACTTGGAACCCTCAAGGAGAAAGGAAAAGAGGAGGGTCAAGGGATACATTACGTTGAGAAATGGAGACAGACATGAGAGAAGAATGAACAACGATTGGACAGGACTGGAAAGGGCGGCCGAGGACAGGGTCGATTGTGGAGAATACAGGTGGGTGGCCTATACCCCGTTGGGCCGTAGGCAAGCAAGTATGTGATAATCGAAGTGAGAATCCACACACACTCACTTAAGCAAAAACAACCAAGATTATAAGTGAACAACTGACAAGGTCAAAAGACATGTGAGTAATGGTTGATTAGATTGTACAAAGGCTGGGAACAAGGGATTGATTTCTGTTAGTATTTCAGCGGTTAACAAATAACTAACTAATAAATATACTTAACGTTTGTAACAATTTTTCATGAAAACTGATTGTATCAACTACCTGCTGTTCAAACAGAAGTCAATGGAGTTTTTGGAAGCTTGTGTACCTAGCGGTTGTGTAAATTGTATACTATAACAAACTAAGATCACATAATGTTAGACTATTTCAGTAATATATCCTGTAAGTTTGTTTATGTTTTACCAAAATGTTATTTATTTCGTTGATATATGTGCGTAATTAGTGAAAGTAAACATGTGATTGGTCATTGAACGTGGAGAAACAGTGTTGGGGATGTTAGATCCCCAAAATTCGCTTGATCAATGCCTTAATTTGGTTTTCACGTTTGCCAGCATGGGCTAATCAGTTGACCTTGAGATTGCATTTCGCACCACAGAAATCCATGGCTATGTGATTGGCTGCTGTGTATTTTAGTGTGCTGTTTTGTTAACTCTCTCAAGGAAGTTTCTATGATGTATAAATAAACGAAAGTTGTATGCTTGATTGTATTGCGATTGCTGTGTGTTTGTAGAATATAATTCCCACGCTTACAAAGCCTTCTGTCTTCAGCTTGCGATTCAAGGTAGCCTACCTGGACGCTGGTTCATTGTCTCGTTCGCGTTTATCGACTAAGGTAAACTCGTATTAACCTCAATCATACTAAGTGACGAACTCTACAAACAGGAACTTAGCCTTCTGAGCATTAAAAATGTGGTTTCCTACCATATTTATGTACTCCATACGTACTATCGAGTTTGATTGCTTGTAATTGTGTGGAGTAAAGTATTGCCTATGATTCTCTGCCTTGGTCATGGATCCAGTAACTGATGGAAATGTGATCCAATCTCTCTGTTGTGTACCGTTCGATTATTCAACCCAACGGTCGTAGAAACTCGATCACTTGGACCAGTCTCATTAAAGTAGAGAAAATAACCACTGTTATGTAAGTGGTACTTTTGATAATATAACTAAAACTGTGATGTGAGCTACTTATAAGTAGTATATGACGTGAGTGTCAACGTAATGTCTGGCAGTAGAAGATGGGGGAAGATCAAGAAAGGAAGAGTTAGAACACAATGGAACACAATGTATGAAACGCATGAATAGTGACAATGGATTAATGTTTTGCGACAGGAACAGTCCAGTTCGATGGATGATGGACTGATATTTTGCAAATAAACGATTTACGATATGGTTTTCCGATTTTACTGAGTAACTGTGTAATTTTCGTTAAATACAATTCGGTTGCCCTCGCCTGTGTTCTCCTTCACTACAATACCATTAAGCTACTCAATAAACCGTCTCAATAACAAAAGTACTGTTGATATACATGCTCAATAAGTATTAAACAGATGTCGATTACTATCTAGTAATAAGTTTCATACAACCAGGGAATTATTTCGTCATACAACAATGTAAGATGTAAGTATAAATGTATATCACCAGGATCCAGGTTGGCATTGACAATCAATTTATCTATCTCATTACACACAGTACTGAAAACTATTCACCTCTGATGTGAATTGTATGAGAAAAGTTTGCAATGATGCAGGCGCATCCATTCTATCAAATCCTTATGGCCGTTTTACGCTTTTCAAATTTACCACACTGGTATGTACTTTCTTGAGTCTTATCTTCAATTCCTAATCGTTTCGACTACCGCTAATACTTCTACTACCTATACCCGAGTGAGCAACACTGTTATTAGGAATTGGGTGCTAGGTAAGAATGGCAGATCAATAGATGCAGTATTGAAACTTCATCAGTTAAGGTGGTTGAGACATGTGTTGCGTATGCCTAACTACCGATTGCCTCGAAGAGCTTTGTTTTGTAGTGTAGGAGTAGGTTGGAAGAAAGTTAGGGGCGGCCAAACCAAAACATGGCACAAATCCATGAAGTCATTGACAAGTGGACTGAGTCATATCGGTAATTGTCGACTACCTGGTTGGGATCCGCGAGATGATAATAATCGATGGTTAGAGACCCTGAATGACATGGCTCAGAATCGTTCGCAATGGCGCCGGTGCATTTATTCTTTGTGTTCTCTCAAATCCTAATCTTCTAGATTCTTCGACACCTCTAGTTTTGACAATTGACAATTACATCTCTGTGTGCTGATTTGGTATGTCAGCATGAACTGATGTATGTACTTACGTATGAAGTTCTACGTTGCATCTGACTGACTGACTGACTGACTATACAACTATGAGATTTGTATTGACCATTGCATCTACTTGTGCTAATGCATGCAGTATGGGGCAAACTGATCTCATGTTGTAAGTAGTTCTACGATGTAGCCGACCAACTGACTGTTTAACTGACTGATTGTACAACAAAAAGGCGAATGAGAGAGTTATTGATTTTTCTTGCGGAAGAAAAACAAGAATGCATTAGTTGATCACACACAAAAAAAAAACAAAGGAAAAGAGAATAGCATACATTTTGATGAAAAACTCAAAATAAAAGAAATCTACATAGAAATCACAACAGCATACATTTATACACACACATCAGTTTTACAAGGAAGGAGAGTAGGGAAATTAAAATAAAAAATATTACATTATCTCATCTAATCTAATCTAATTTAATCTAATCTAGTCGAACACATCACAACCTTCTTGTCTTTGTACAAGATTATAATAATAACCATGATTAGCCATCAATTCGGAATGAGTTCCTTTCTGTAGGAGGGGAGGGGGTGGGAAACAACAGCAAAGAAATACAATACGAATGATACAAATTAAGTGAGAATAACAAACATGACAATCGATCAATCAATCATTGTTGTTAGACTATCACCGTTAGAAGAAAAAGCCTGGAAGCACACTGAAAGATGGCCGTTTCATTCTGGTATGGGACTATTCAGTTAGTTAGACATTAACACTGTTAGATACCGGACTCAGTGGTCTAACGGTTATAGGGCATTCGCGCACAATACCGAAGGTCCTGGGTTCGAGCCCTGCGGGGTGAAGGAGTCGTGGATGCGCACTGTTGATGATGAGTCCCATACCAAGACGAAACGGCCGTCATTCAGTGCTCCCAGGTTTCTAATGGTGATAGTCTAACATTGATCGATTCATGGTTTCAAAAATGTGTAACAAATATTAATGTTTGAAATTATCAATTAATCAATGATTGTTAGACTACAACCTGGAAGCATTGAAAGATGGCCGTTTCATCCTGGTATGAGGGACTACTACTCATCAGCGGCAGTGAGCATCCACAATGACTCCTGCACCTCGCACGACTCGAACAATGATTGATTGATGACTTAAAAAAATGTGTAAAAACATAAATCTCAAAAGCTCTAACTGAAAATATCGTAACAGTGCTCATTAGTGAGGTAATTCTCGGAGTTCTAGTTGAGAAGACGTGATGACCGATGGAGTTCAACGCTTGTCGGGTGTAGGCAATAACTACCAAACGCCAAAATGGGTGAGGTCGCGCAAAATCCGTAGACCAATCAGAGTTAGACATTAACGCTGTTGGATGCCAGCCCAGTGGTCGGATGGTTAGGCGTTTGTGCAAAATACTGAAGGTTCCGGGTTCAAATCCTGTGAGGTGCAGGAGTCGTGGATGCTCACTGCCGCTGATGAGTAGTCCCATACCATGACCGAACGGCCGTCATTCAGTGCTTTCAGGTTTCTAATGGTGATAGTCTAACATTGATTGATTGATGATTTCAAATGTGTATGGGGGGCATGGGGTTGACGACCTCATCCCGTAGAAAACTAATTGCATAAAAAAACACCAACCAGAAACAATAACTCAAGAGACGCCAATCAGGATATCACTTACTTACTTACGCCTGTTAACCTCAATGGAGCATAGGCCACCGACCAGTTCTCTCCAACCAACTCTGTGTCCTTGGCTTCCCTCTCTAGTTCTGCCCAATTTTCGTTCATTCTTCTCTCATGTCTTTCTCTATTTCTCGGCGTAATGTGTTCCATAGCCTTCCCCTTTTTCTTTAACCTTGAGGGTTCCATGTGAGGGCTTGTCTTGTGATGCAGTTGGGTGCTTTTCTCAGTGGGTGTCCTCTCCACTCCCACCACTTCTTCCTGATTTAATCCTCCGCTCGAGGAATCTGGTTTGTTCTCTCCCACAGTAGGTAAGTTGTTGTTGATAGTTTCTGGTCAACTGATCCGAAGTGTTTTGCATATACTTCCCCCATAGAAAATTAGTCCTTCTCTTGACCAATCATATGCATTTGTCCTTCAGGATATTCCTGATTTATGTTCGGTTGTGTTTTTGTTAGGATATTCATCGAATATCCTAAGAGAATAGTTATTGGTCAATTCCTTCTGGTCAATTTTATGGTCGTCCAAACTGTCAATGTCACGTGCTCCAATGTTGTTTCTTATTGGTTGTCATGATTATCAATGTCACTTCAAATGTTGCTTCCTATTAGTCAACTTAACTGCCATTGTCACAGACTTCGATGTTGTTTCCTATTCGACCAAAATGTACAGAGACGCATTATCTGTAAGGTTTTATGAGCAGGACCAGGACCCGGTCCCGGATCCCTAGTCCGGGATCCTGATTCTCTTCTAGACTCGGACCTCGTACTTTCTGGATGGCTTTTAGAATACACGTTCTACTTCATGTCAAGTCTTCTTTTACTATATGGGGATTTGAAACAATCGGATTAGAGTAGCCTGTCATGTCGCCGGATCATCGATCCTAGCTCTCGTTTACCAGCTGAGGTGAAATCGTAATAGTGTGTGCACGTGTTTACGTGCAATGTGTAACAGATTTATGAAAATATCAATTGTTACACTCATCTAGTTGATTTAAAAAGACAAAGCAGAAACAAGACACCAAAGTAATAATATAATAATTTAAACTTACTTCAACTATTTCTCCTTTAGACATAACTAAAATTAAATCAGCTTTACGCACTGTACTTAATCGATGTGCAATAATTAGAACTGTACGATCTGTGACAGATAAAAGCAAAAAAAGATGGATAAAACAACTCTTTAAAAAAAACGTATATCTTTGAATTGTTGTGTCAGTCAGTCAGCTACAACGTAGTATAGCGTACGTGCGTACACTAGTTCATTTCGCCATACCGCATTAGCACATAGACGCGATTGTCAATTCAAATCTCAATAGTGGTAGAGATAGTAGAAGAATTACTGCTTATGGAGAAGATTAGGATCTGAAGATAATATTCAAGAAGTATAATTCAGTGAGATAACCTTAGGAAGAGAAAGATAGAAGTGATGAGGAATTGAGAAGGTTAGGATTTGAGGGAATACAAAGAGTGGAAGCACCTGCGATATTGCAAACGATTTTGAGCCATATCATTCAAGGTCTCTAACCATTGGTGACTTTCGTCTCGCGAACCCCAACCAGATAGTCCACACGTACCAATATGGTTCGGTCCAGCTGTCAGTGACTTCATGGATTTCTGTCATGTTTTGGTTTGGCAGTACCCAGCTTTCTTCCAACCACACCACAAAACATAGCTCGACGAGGCACTTGGCGGTAGGGCATACGTAACACATGTCTCAACCACCTCAAATGATGAAGTTTCAATACTTCATCTATGGATTTGCCATCCTTACTTAGTACTCGTTTCTTAACGACAGTATTGACTACTCTATTTGTCCGGGAATAAACGAGCAATGCTTCGAAGACACCTATGATCAAAAACCAGTAACTGAAGAATATCCTCAACTCTTACCTGCCATGTTTCGCATCCATATAGTAGGACGTTAAGGTAGGAGCTAGGGTGAGGCGAGTTGTGTGAGTGTACGTGATGTGATGGACTGCATACAGTAGTGAAAGCTAGAGTATCCCGTGTTATCTTTGACGTTATGATGATGTTTGGTTGGCTGTAAAACGTCAAAAAGCTGAAATGAGCATGTGACAGAGCTCCTACTCGGTGCTTATGAAATCTGGATTTTCCGAACTGAGGATGTTTGAAGACTCTTCGTAGTAGACTCATGTTGTTTCGGAAGGATATAATGATATTGTGACGATTTTATTGAAATGACGAATCGATTATTGTTAAACCATCATTAAAAACCTGGAAGCAGTGAACGCCCGTTTCATCCTAGAACGGAACTCGTCAGCAGTGTGAATCCGCGACCTTCGGTACCAGGCATGAATGCTTCACCTCAAGACCGCTGAGCCGGTATCTGGTGTCACCACAATTAAACACTAACTTGGATGATTTCACCATATTTTATATTTGTCATTCCAGTGGTTTCCACATCACCAATCATTTGCCGACATGGTCGACTAGATCGAAAAAACAGTGGAGCGGCCTTCAACTGATAACATGGTGCATTGTATGAAAACCATCCTATACAAAGGATATGTAGTTTTCAGTCCATCACGATTCACTACTAGTTAGAGGATCCTAGAGATAGTTAAACTCAGTGGCTTAACTTAACAACCGTTTAGGCAATGCTATCGTTAGGAAACGAGTTCTATGTAGGGATGGCAAATCAATAGATGTAGTATTGAAACTTCATCAATTGAGGTGGTTGCGACATGTGCAGCGTATGGCTAACCACCGACTGCCTCGTCGAGCTTTGTTTTGTAGTGTAGGAATAGGTTGGAAGAAAGCTAGGGGCGGCCAAACCAAAACATGGTGGAAATCCATGAAGTCATTGACAAGTGGACTGAGTCATGTTGGAAGATGTAGGCTACCTGGTTGGGGTCCGCGTGACGAAAGTCACCAATGGTTAGAGGAGACCTTGAACAACGACATGGCTCGAAACGGTTTACAATGGCTCAGGTGCATCCACTCTTTGTGTGCTTTTTAATTCTAATCTTTTGAATTCCTCATCATCTCTATCTTTCTCCTTCTAAATTTATCTCACTGAATTATACTTTTCGAATCATATCTTTGCTTCCTAATCTTCTCCATTGCTGCTCATAATTCTACTATCACTATCACTTTTGGATTTGAACTGACAGTTACGTCTGTGTGCTGATGGGGCATGGCAACCTGAACTGATGTACTTACGTACGAAGTTCTGCGTTGTATCTCTATATATCTCTCTCTCTAAACTCAGTGACAGTCAGTCCTGGATTCCACCGCTAAGCACATTCGATCAATTCTTTACATATAAACAAACATGTGTGATAATGATTGATTAAATGTCAGTCAACTAAAACAAACATCAATCAACACACAACTCACTCACTTTTCATTGCATTATTCAATGCATCTTGTACTCTAGCTTCCGACTCAGCATCTAAAGCCGAGGTCGCTTCGTCCATTAATAAAATTGGTGCATTTTTCAACAAGATACGTGCTATAGCAATACGTTGACGTTGACCACCGCTTAAACCTGCAGTGTAACCGCTACCTTGACCAATTAATGTATCATAACCATCAGGTAAATCATTGGAAATAAATTCATGAGCATGTGCGAGTTTAGCTGCTGCTTCAACCTGAAATGATGATATATTATACATAATAAAGATTATTGATTGAAAAGAAACACAAGGGAGCATCGAATATATATTACTTACTTACTTACTTACGCCTGTTAACCCCCAATGGAGCATAGGCTGCCGACCTGTTTTCTCCAACCAACTCTGTGTCCTGGGCTTCCCTCTCCAGTTCTGTCCAATCACCGTTCATGCTTCTCTCGTGTCTTTCTCTATTTCTCGGCGTATTATGTTCCTTGGACTTTCCACTTTTCCTTTTGCCTTGAGGGTTCCATGTGAGGGCTTGTCTTGTGACGCAGTTCGATGCTTTTCGGAGTGTGTGTCTTATCCACTTACACCGCTTCTTCCTAAATTCCTCCTCCACTGGAATCTGGTTTGTTTTCTCCCACAGTACGTTGTTGCTGATGGTGTCTGGCCAAGGAATACGAAGTATTTTGTGTAGACAACTAGTTAATAAATACTTGTATCTTCTGGATGATACCTTTCGTAGTTCTCCAAGTTTCCGCTCCATACAATAGAACTGTCTTGACATTTGTAATGAATATATATATATATATATATATATATATATATATATACATGTGCGCCATACAAATTATTCAGAGCCATGTCGTTCAAGGTCTCTAACCACCGATTACTATCGTTTCGCGGACCCCAACCAGGTAGCCGACATCTACCAACATGACTCAGTCCCCTTGTCAGTGACTTCATGGATTTCAGTAGTGACCGGTATCATGTTTGGTGAATAGTTTAGGTATTGTTTGAATTGTTTCATCGACTAACTAAACTACTAACATAAGAGAGTCAATCAGAAACGGCCAAATAGCGTCATTTGATGATAAACAAAATTGTCCTCAAGGACGAATGCATATCATCGGTCAAAAATTGTATTCATTTTCTAAAGTGTAGTAAGGATTTAATTGTGACCAATTCGGTCTCATGTGCGTTTCATGGCTACGAGGGCGGATGTTACTTCCCGGTTACCCATACCGTGTAAAGGTTCTGGTTTTTGAGAAAGGAGCATCGACTGCATGACTTGCTAAGAAACTCGACCTTCATCGTGAGACGTCACAACTCTTCCAAATCAAGACCTTATAGCTCCCAGAACAGAGTTTATATGGTTTGAATAATTTTTTTCATGTCAGCGTTTTTAGCGAGGTCGCCAACCCCAATCCCAACCCTCCTCCTTTATCCGGGCTTGAGACCAGCAATAGCCCCGAAGGGTCTACAGGTGGAGTCTTACTTTCTAAAGCGAAGGAATGTCAACATATATATAAATGAGTATTTATCTATATAATTCAGCAGACAGATAGACCTTCGTGGTGGTGGAGTTTGGTTCTCTGAGCTGGGTGTTTCGGTTATGGAGCTTTCATTGTTCGCCTTCAGAACAACATCATCATCAGAACAAACTTCAGATAGAAATGAAGCATTCGAATTTCTCCACGTTTGATCTGTAGCTTGTTCTGTTAATCTCGATCTTGATTGGTTGCTGTTGACCTTAAACCCGTCTTTGTTTGAACCCTTGCATCCTCCTTTTGATCTGTTTCTTGATCCTGTGTCATCTATGATTTTCCTGATTGGTTCATAAATTGAGTCAATGTCGATGTGTTTGTTGATTTCTGATTGACCTGAGTGCCAAGCTTCTAAAAATTCTCTATTGTTCTTTGTCCTCCCCCTACCCAGTATTTCCACATTGTTCCAATCAAATGTGTGTCCATAATTGTCGGTGTGTATTGTCGTGGTGTTTGACTGCTAATTGATGTCCACGTAAACGGAGCTGAAGAGGTCGTCCAATTTGTCCTATGTAGTGTTTTTCACAGTTTGAGCAATTTATTTTGTTAGAGATATTTGGTTTTTCTTCCTTTGTCATTTTGTCCTTTGGTCTACATAGGATTGATTGAAGCGATTCTGCTGGTTTGTATGCCACACACCTATTCCAAATGGTTTCAGTAGTCGTGCTGTATGCTCCGATATGTCTTTAATATGTATGGCAGGATGATCCGTTTATTGGTTCCTGTGCTTGATTTCTCTTCTGATGATGGTTTCAGTTGATGTTTTTTGATGAAGTTGCGTGGATAGCCGTTCTTTTGGCAGATAGTCATCAGGTGTTTTTCCTCGTCTTTTTAATGCCTCGTATGTGCTGCAGTGTGTCCACAACCAAAACAACCAGCTCAGAGAACCAAACACCACCACCACAATCATCCACCTGAGCTACAAATCTTCTCCACCATCTCAAAGACTTTTTCCCCTACTCTTGCCTTCTCTTCATTCAAGTAACCAGTTTCAAGAGGCTAGCACATATTGGCACCCATACATCTTAACAGTTACCTGTACCGACAGGAAAAACCAAGACCAAAAACTAATGACATTTAAACGCATTCAATCTATGTGTACCTACCTCGTCATCAGTAGCATCAAAACGTCCAAATCGTATATTCTCTCTAATTGATGCATTGAACATTTGTGGTTCTTGACTAATATAACCAATTAATTTACTTCGTAAATAATTTACATTAAATTGTGTTAATTTATAATTATTAATTAAAATTTCACCAGATATTGGATCATAGAAACGTTCAAGTAAAGAGACAATGGTAGATTTACCTAAAAGAGAGAGAGAATTAAAAGTCACTATATGGGTTATGGAGATTGTTGAATTTTATTGACATCATGAATCGATCATTGTTAGATCACATTTGAAACCTGGGAGCAATGGACAGTCGTTTCTTCCTAGTATGGGGCTCACTCATCAGTGACACTAAGCATCCACGACACTAACTCGCGGGAATCGAACCCAGGACCTTCGGTCTAGCGTGCGAATGCTTGACTTTCAGACCACTGAGTCGACCATCTCGTCCTACTGTAGGACCCACCAGTAGTGCCCAATCACGACTCCTGCTACTTGCAGGATTCGAGCCCAGGGCCTTTGGTCTTGTGAGCTAACGCCTGACTACTAGATCACTGAGTCGGTATCCGACTATGTCAATGTCTGACTTTAATCGATCCGCGCTCTCGCACAAGTTCATCAATTGTCTTCGGTAGTTACTGCTTACACTCGACAAGGTTGAACTCAATTAGTCACGGATTCACACTAGAACTCCGAGAATTCCCTCACGCAGCTAGTCACTAGTCGTGATCAGTGGAGTTCTACCTTTTGGGTGCGGAGCAATGCTCACTGAAGACAATGGATGAGATTGAGCAAGACCGTGAATCGATTAAGGTTAGACATTAACATGGTTTGGATACAGGCTCAGTAGTCTAGAGGTTAGGCGTTCGGGTGCGAGACCGAAGGTCATAGGTTCGATTTCTGTGGACGGGTTTTGTTGATGCGCACTACCCCTGATGAGTCCCAATACGAGGACGAAACGGCCGTTCAGTGCTTCCGGGTTTCTAATGGTGGTCTAATAATAATGATCGATTCGTAACTTGAATATAATATATAAATCTATATTAAATAGACTATTTGCACGTATTCCTCAAATAGTCTCTTCCAATTCCAGTTTTGAAGCGTCGTCGAAGGATATCATCATTTCTTCGTTGTCAATTTGAATCCTCTTGAGTTTATCCAAGAATACTGTGGCGGACTTAATGGAGTAGTTGGATTCATCCACCAGATGTTTTAATATCCTTGAAATTTCTCTTGATAAGTTGTAGGTCGGGGTTCCGGGGAGGGATACAATAGGACGTAAGTGGGATGTTAGGTTTGTGGAGTTTTGGCCTACCGTAGAATCGTGGAATTGTTGGTCCATCGGATCTCATTCTCCATTGATCTTGTTTTGATATTTGTCCTGCTTTGACAGGCCTATTTAGAGTCCTTGAGATTTGATTGTCCAACTTTTTTATAGGGTTTGTGTCGACTGGTTTATATACGCTTCTGTCCACAAACCTAACATCCCACTTACGTCCTATTGTATCCCTCCCCGGAACCCCGACCTACAACTTATCAAGAGAAATTTCAAGGATATTAAAACATCTGGTGGATGAATCCAACTACTCCATTAAGTCCGCCAACAGAATTCTTGGATAAACTCAAGAGGATTCAAATTGACAACGACGAAATGATGATAGTCTCTTCCAATCTCTATCATTTGTTCATTCTTGCAGTGAATCCCGTTTCGCACTGCTTTTTCTGTTGTTCTCATCTCTTTATTTTCCTCTTCTGCCAGTAAGAATTCTGCTTCCTATTTTAATGTCCTATATATACTACTTATATCTGTCCGCACAATTAGCACACATTACAACAACACTGTCAAGACTACACATTCAAAAATCAAATAAGATTTTTGCTAGGATATTCATTCAATTACGAATCGCCACCCACTCTGTTCACTGTTGGATACTTTTCAACTTCCGTTAATACCATATACCTCCTGGTATCGCAACTACACCACCCTCAAGCATAACTAACAACAATTGATGTGATGACTTGCGTTGCGTAACAATCTGACAACGGGGATGGGATCATATTGATCCTTCGAGATTTGAATTATTATTAACCGAGCAGCAGCTAAACTAATGAAGATGTTGATGAGTAAGTACCAAGCTGCATCGCGACACGACTATGGTGGAGATCAAGTCAATCTGATGTTGTGTAGTGCAACTGTCAACTAACCAGAATAGATGTTCCCCCTGCTACACCCACTCCACTTCACTTCAGCTCAATCCAACAGCCGATCGAAAAAATTACTCGGTTTAGATTGGTTTAAACAGCAGATATCTCGTCAAGCATATAAGAAGAAGAAGCCAAACCGCTCAGAAGTAAGTACTCAAGACTGGTCCTGATCTCCGTTCCAGAAAATATCCACTGAGACAGCGGTCACATCCTAACTATCAATGTCACATACTTCAATGTTGGTTCCTATTCAACCAAACTGTATAAATATGCATTGTCTATGACGACTTATGATCAAGATCCTTATTCCAGGATCCTTATTCCTCATCTGGACTCGGACCTCGTACTTTCTGGATGGCTTGTAGAATACACGTTCAACTTCATATCAATTCTTCTTCTTTTACTCAATATGGGGGTTCGTGACGCTCGGATTAGAGTAACTTGTCGTATCGCCGGATCATCGATCCTCGCTCTCGTTTACCGACTAAGCATATCCAATTGACGTGGGTGGTGACTTGCGTTGTGTAACAATAGTTATAATCAAATCAATTACCTGCACCAGAATGACCAACGATAGCGATAACTTTACCACCTGGTAAAAACATTGATAAATCATTTAATACATTGATTTCTGGACGATTTGGATAAATAAATTGTACATTGGAAAATTCGATAGATGGTGAAGAATCTGGCAATTCTTTAATATTATTGACATGTTGTTTACTAACCGCTAATAACGACGAAGATGACGATGATGGGGAAGAGGAGGCGGATAGTATACTTCCAATACCATCAGGTAATGTTAATATCTATAAGAAATCAATGTAAAAAAATGTCAAAATATTAACATCTTGGATTACCACCCAGTTGAGTAGACTAATAATAGTGTATAACTTCGGTTAATCCACACGGTCTTGTGCTGTAGTGAACGAGAACACAGGTAGGGCGACCGGATTACTACATCGGTCATTGTTCTTGCCCGCTGGTCTGGAATGAATACGGCATCTATCCAACGTGTAGCGTTTACTAGTTCCCGCTGCTGGGACACGGCGGCAAGGAACACTCTCGATAAATTGCGACGCCAACAACTATGCCCTCGACTCCCCATCCATACTCGGCAGCATACGGCGCAGCAACATCGTGAGCTCCACAGCCAGCACCAACGGGTCACCTGCATCGGTTGCCCCACATGTGTTCTCGTTCACTACATTTGGTGTCGCTGTCTGCTTGAAGGAAGGAGCTCCAGTGGTCGAAGGAGTTGGAGGACGGAGATTTGCGGAGCTTCCTGGAGGAGTTTGAGGCCGCAGTGGAGCTGGTGGGTGTGAAGAGGCCCGGGGCGGAGTTGGTGGTGCTCCAACCCCTTCGGCCACGAGGGCTCCTTCCTTCGAGCAGGTTGCCCCACCTGTGTTCTCGTTCACTATAGTGCGACTATATCCAGCGTCTTTGGTGGGCACTGTTTCATAGCTGACAAAGTTGAACTCGATTGGTCACGGATTAGTGATCAGCTTCGTGAGGAAATTTCGCCAAGTTCTAGTAAGAACTCGTGACTACCAGTGGAGTTTAACCTTGTCATTTGTGAAGTAGTGCCCATCACCGTAGACAATGAATGAAGTTGCGCACGACCGTAGATTCATCAAAATTAGACTTTAACACAAGTTAGATGCTGACTGATCAGTTCAGAGATGAATTATTCGCACTCAAAACAGAAGGTTTTGGTTTCGATTCCGGTGAGTGAAGGTTGTGGATGCGTACTGTTGGTGAGTTCCATATTTTAGAACGAAACGACCATCTAATGCTTCCCGGTTTCTTCTAGTAGCGGTTCAACATTGATCGATTCATGATTTTAATAAAAGCATTACAACTTATAACTCAAAAAGTGATATCAAGTTAATAGATCTCTAGTCATAGGTCTAAAAGTGTTACCACGAAAAATGTAGCCACAAAACCTGGAAAAAAATAAAGAATATGTTCAACGTCATTTTCACTTTTAAAACCAAGGTTAATTGTTGAAATCATTTGTCCTTTGAACACCATGGTAAAGTTCCTAGGTGTTCAAGATCACTCTGTTACACCAATTAGATTTTCAGGGGTCTGCAGTATGAGAAATCAGAAAGTAAGTGATAATCGCCCACAAACTTTTAACAGTACCTCACAATAAACTCCGCAACGGAGCTACGCAATGTAAATAAAACTCGGAAGTGAGCTTAACACTTCATTGAAATCATGAACTGATCGAGGACACCTGAAAACAATGGACGACCGTTTTGTCCTAGTATGTAATTCCTCAGTAATGCTCATTCACGGGCACATATTCAGGAATCGAATCTAGGACTTTCGGTTTTGAGTGTAAGCACTTATCCATTAGACTACTGAGTCGGAATCTAATATGGTTTTAAAGTTTAACTTCAACAAATCCACCCCATATTGCATGACTATCATCCATTATCTCTGTTTAGTGACCTTGAACGACATAGCTCAAAATCGTTTGCGATGGCACAGGTGCATTCACTCTTTGTCTTCTCTGAAATTCGAATCTTCTGAGTACCTCATCACCTTTAAATTCATTTTCTAAAATTATCTCACTGAATTATACTTCCTGAATAATATATTCGGACCGTGATCTTTCCGATTACTGTTCATACTTCTACTACCTCTACCACTATATGATTAGAATCTACAATTTCAGTCAGTCAGTCAGTTGCAACGTAGAACTTTGTAAGTATGTACATAAGTTCATGTTGCCATACCATATTAGCACAGAGACGCAGATATCAAATCAAATCCCATAGTGATAGAGATAGTAGAGGTATTAATGGTAATGAAGAAGACTAGGGTTTGAAGATATTATTCAAGAAGTATAATTCAGTGAGATAAGGTTAGAAAGACAAAGGTAGAGGTGTTGAAGAATCCAGAAGATTAGGATTTGAGAGAGCTCAAAGAATGGATACACTTGAGCCATTGCAAACGATTTTGAGCCATGTCGTTCAAGGTCTCTAACCATCGGTGACTTTCGTCTCGCGGACCCAAAGAGAGGTACTAGGGGGTGTAGGAAGGATTTGATTTTGACCAATTTGGTCTCGTATGCTGGTACGGGTATGAGGGCGGTTATCACTTCCTGGCTGCCCACAATTTCATCTCTGTGCTAATATGTTATGGCAATTTGAACTGTTTGACGTACGTATGAAGTTCTACGTTGTAGCTGAGTGACTGACTGACTGACGTTGGTGTTCGATGGATTGTGTTGTTAACTTCAATTGATTAGCGAGCGATATTACGCAATCATAATGAATGACGACAGTTAAATACAATACTGAAACTCAATGTTAACAGGCAGTCGTATCAAAGTTTAGAGGTGAAGAATTCAAATTCTTTAGTCAGTCAGTCAGTCAGATGCAACGTAGAACTTCGTACGTACGTAAGTACATCAGTTCATGTTGCCATACCACATCAGCGCAGAGATATAATTGTCAATTCAAATCCAATTGTAGTAGAGGTAGTAAAGGTATTAGAAGTAAATGGAGAGGTTAGGATTAGAACATATTATTCAAGAAGTATGATTCAGTGAGAAAAGTTTAGAAAGTCAAAACTAGAGGGGTTGAAGAACCCAGAAGATTAGGATTTGAGAGAACACAAAGAATAAATGCACCGGTGCCATTGCGAACGATTTTGAGCCATGCTGTCATTCAAGGTCTCTAACCGTCGATTATTATCATCTCGCCGACCCCAACCAGGTAGTCGACAATTACCGACATGGCTAAGTCCACTCGTCAATGACTTCATGGATTTCTGCCATGCTTTGGTTTGGCCGCCCCTAGCTTTCTTCCAACCTATTCCTACAGTACAAAACAAAGCTCGTTGAGGCAGTCGGTGGTTAGGCATACGCAGCACATGTCCCAACCACCACCTCAACTGATGAAGTGTCACTACTTCATCTATTGATCTTCCATTTTTACCTAGCACCCGATTCCTAATAACAGCGTTGCTCACTCACGTGTCCCACGATATACGAGCAATGCTTTGAAGACACCTATGATCGAAAACCAATAACCGACGAATATCTTCTACTCTTACTGGCCATGTTTCACAGCCATAAAGTAAGACGGAGCGAACTACTTAGTGCACAGTACACACGTCCTTTAGTCAGCAACATTTAAATTTACACTGAACTATACACATATAAACAAACAACCAATTGATTCAAACAGTTCACTTACATCATGTATACGTTTCAGAGCAGTATATCCACGAACAATTTGTCCATATAATAAAGATAATTGTGTAAGTGAACGTTGCAATGTTTGTGTAGTAGTTAAAAATGACATTAAATGTCCAGCATCTAATTCACCACGTGACATTAAATGACCTCCAACATATAATGCTCCAAGGACAACACCTTTTTTTAATAAAAAAAAAGAAAAATCAATAAGATGGTGAAGAAAATGTTTTGTAGCTCAGGTGGATTGATTGTGATGGTGGTGGTGGTGGTGTTTTGTTGTCTGAGCTGAGCTGAGGATGTTTTAGTTGAGTGGAGCTTTTATCATTGTTCTTCTACTGCTGAACAACATCATCAGCAGCAGCAGAATTATGGACACATACATTTGATTGGAACAATGTGGAAATACTGGATAGGGGGGGGAGGACAAAGAGAACACTAGAGAATTTTTTAGAAGCTTGTCTGGCACTCAGGTCAATCAATCAGCAATCAACAAACACATGGACATTGACTCAATTTATCAACTAATCAGTGAAATCATAGGTGACATAGGATCAAGAAACAGATCGAGGTTAGCAGAACAAGCTACAGGTCAAACGTGGAGAAATTCGAATGCTTCACTTCTATTTGAAGTTTGTGCTGATGATGTTGTTCAGAAGAAGAACAATGAAAGCTCCACAACCAAAACAACCAGCTCAGAGAACAAAACACCACCACAAAAAACAATAAACAAGTTTTCAGCTTAAAATATATGCAGCGTTCGAGATCCAAACGTAATATGCACTAACCCTCTCCAAACTGACTAGGTGAATGAGAAGAGAAGAGAAATTCTATTTGGCTATCGAATAATATGTATAAATACGTTTATATGGCACAGTCTGGTACTGTCGAAAATGTTGTGGTGCGCGCTACTTATAAGTAGTATGTGACGCAAGTGTCAACGTAATGTCTGGCAGCAGAAGATGGGGGAAGATCAACAAGAAAGGAAGAGTGGGAACACAATGGAATTTGTATGAAACGCATAAGTGAAATGTCAGACAATGGATTGATGATGGATTGAAGATTTGCAAATTAACAACGGTTTACGATATGGTTTTCCTATTTTACTGAGTAACTCTGTAAGTTGCGATAAATACAATTCGGTTGCCCTCGCCTGTGTTCTCCTTCACTACACTACATTTACTACGAATTGACAATTGCGTCTCTATGCTAATATGGTAAGGTAACATGAACTTAAATATGTACGTACTAAGTTCTACATTGTAAATGACACTGACTTCATGGACTCCAACCAGGTAGTAAGTAGTCTACACCTATTAACATTGTTCAGTCCTATTGTCAATGACTTCATGAATTTGTACTGTGTTTTAGTTTGGCCGCCCCTATCTTTCTTCCAGCCTACTAGTATTCGATCATAGATGTTTAAGAAGCATTGCTCGTATATCGTGGGACAAACGAGTAAGCAATGCTATCGTTAGGAAACGAGTACTGGGTAAGGACGACAGATCAATAGATGAAGTAGTGAAAATTCATCAGTTGAGGTGGTTGGGACATGTGATACGAATACCTAACCACCGACTGTCTCGACGAGTTATGTTTTGTGGTGTAGGAGTAGGTTGGAAGAAAGTTAGGGGCGGCCAAACCAAAACATGGCAGAAATCCATGAAGTCACTGACAAGTGGGCTGAGTCATGTTGGTAGATGTAGTCTACCTGGTTGGGGTCTGCGAGACGAAAGTCATCAATGGTTAGAGACCTTGAACGACATGGCTCAAAATCGTTTGCAATGGCGCCAGTGCATCCATTCTTTGCGCTCTCTCAAATCCTAATCTTCTGGATTAGCCAGCACCTCTACCTTTGTCTTTCTAACCTTATCTCACTCACTGAATTATACTTCTTGAATAATATCTTCAAACCACCCTAGTCTTCTTCATTACCATTAATACCTCTACTATCTTTATCACAATGGGATTTGATTTGACATTTGCGTCTCTGTGCTAATAATGTGGTATGGCAACATGAACTTATGTACATACGTACGAAGTTCTACGTTGCAACTGACTGACTGACTACCTCAACATCAGACAGCATCGCTCGTCGAGGTGGTCGGTAGTTGGGCCTACATGACATAGGTCCCAAACACCTCAACTGATGAAGATTCAGTAATTCGTCAACTGACTTACTACTATCTTAACTCATCAACTGACTAACACTACATTAATTAACTTCAATTCAACATGTAAAACAATGGATATCAACGACATATATAAATGATTATTAATTTACCATTCAATGCTAAATTAGAAAGACCTTGAAATAAACCAATGCCAAATGATAGCTTTACACTTAGTTCTTTAGTTTTATCCACATTATAATTGATTTTACTAAAAATTTAAAAAATAGAAAATAAATGAATTGATTTTTTTATTGATTCTGATTATTAATATTGTTCTAGATTGATAAATACAAAGAGATGTATGGCAAATTGAACTGATGCACGGACTGACGTACGGACTTCTCTGTTGTATCTGGGTATAGGATATTAGGGAGTGTAGGAAGGATTTGATTTCGACCAATTTAGTCTCATGTGCTGTTACAGGTATGAGGGCGGTTGTCAATTCCCGGCTGCCGACACCATGGAAGGGTGTTTCTTGAGGGTCCCGAAAAAGAAGATGGATTAGAGTTGGTCTTAGAGACCTGGAAGCGTGACCACAGAGCCCGAAGGACAACTGCTTGCCTTTTGATAAAAGGTTTTCTGAGTATTAGCTCCGCTCGTAAAAGCTCTTAGTGGACACCCTTATCGCCGGAAACGGAAATCCATGAGGTAGGGTGAGGTGTGACATTTTTAGGGTCGACCTTTTCTTACCCTTCCTTCCTTGTGAGAAGGCAGCATCGCTGCAGATGCTGGTTGTCCGAGGGAAACACCTTACTGCTGTCACATCCCTCCATCACAGTCAGCAGTACGACTTCGCCCTCAGACCATGAGTATCTGCTTTCAGTCTCATCATTTTCCAGTCGACCTGTCTGGCATGGTAGAACCTACAGGAACATAAGTTTCAGCCAATACAGCTTTGTCGGGTCATCACGATAGGCAAACCCTTCATGGTAGCAGCTACAATTGGGGTAATAACGAGGTACAGCGAAACGTGTCATTTTATGAAACCAAGCAGAACATTCAAAGAACAGCAACTGAATCTTAATTTTACCACGATAATTAATAATTTTGGTATGCTTATTTTTGGCCCCTATTCGAGAAAATGCTTGACCGTACAAAGTTGTATCCGGATTCAACATAATTTTTGAAGATTTTTATGTTACAGGGCAGTCCGTAATGTTAACTACAAAATTCAGAAAACCTCCATGAAACTTGTAAAGCAACAATGAATTACGAAATTATATTTTAAACGGCACAAATAATGAAGCACAAAACCTAGTAACGAAATAGGCATTTAGTCTGGATATAATCGATATCTATCCTCCATCCATGATAAAGGATAAGAAATAGAACAAAGTAGATGTTTGATCATTTCATTGACTATTATGAATCGATCATTGTTAGACCAGCAATAGAAACCTAGAAGCACTGGAAGGCCGTTTCGTACTAGTTTGGGACTCATCAGCAATGTGCATCCACAGTGCCCGCTCAAGTAAGTCAGACCCAGGAACTTCGGCCTCGCGTGCGAACGTTAAACGTTCAGACCACCGAGCCAGTATCCAATGATGTTATTGTCTAACTTTAATCAATCCCTGATATAGCACAACCTCACTAAATGTCTTCAGCAGTGACTGCCTATACTCGACAGGGTTTAACTCCACCAATTATGGCTTCTCACTAGAACTCCGAGAATTTCCTCACGGAGCTAGTCCTAAATGAGCACATTTTATGATTATTCCCTATAGATTTATGAAGCGTATTCAGTTTCATAGAAATTATGAATCGATCTCGTTAGGTGAGCACCGCTGAAAAGTCCCACTACTAGGATGAAATACCCGTCCAGTGCTTCAAGGTCAGTGAAGCTCAATAATCTTCATAACTCTATGATGAAAAAGTTCGATAATTCATTGCACTACTCATGAGTAACTAGATTCGTTTTGTCGTACAATTTATTGCTTGCATTCACCTGGAAGGATTTGATTTCGACCGATTTGGTCTCCTGTGCTGTTACAGGTATGATAGCGGTTGTCGACCTTTTCTAACCCCTTCTTTCCTTCATTGTGAGAAGGCAACATCACTGCAGATGCTGGTTGTCCGACGGAAACACCTTACTGTCACAACCCTCTACAGTCAGCAATACGGCTTCGCCCTCAGACCTTGAGTATCTGCTTTTAGTCTCATCGTTCTCCAGTCGACCTGCCTGGCATGGTAGAACCTTCAGGAACATATGTTTCAGCCAGTATAGCTAGGTTAGGTCATCCCGATAGGCAAGCTCGACCACCACGTCAATGTAGCAGCTTCGGTCGGGTGCATTCACCTGGCAAAGTGTAAACAAATCATTCCTCTTAGTGGTCAACACATTTTATTCGTCAGATTATATTGAACTGGTCACACATTCAAGTACCTGTTTGCTGCAGAATTTCATCATTTTGACCTAGGGGCTAATTAGTTTGAAATATATGACTACTTATTCCGAGACAGTCTTCTAATTTGAATTAACCTCAAATGTGATATCCCGATTAGCGTTTCTTGAATTATTTTTTCTGGTTTGCGTTTTTTCAGCCAGTTAGTTTTCTACGGGATGAGGTATTCGAACCCCATGCGCAACCCTCCTCCTTTATCCTGGGCTTAGGGTCGGCAGTAGCCCCAGAGGGGTTCCAGGCGGAGTGATATCCCGATGACTCCGCAAATAACACAGATATTAGAACCAAAGAAAAGATATATACGTGCATATCAATAAACTTACTCAATTAGAAAATCTTCCATAGTCAATGATTTCACTGTTCGTATATGACTGAACACTTCATCAGTTAACGAAGCGAGTACAGAATTCTAAACGAGAGAATAATAAAACCGGGTAGAATATATATCGTCTAATAGGTTAAAATAATGAGTGATTGAATAGAAAAAATATTAAAGAAAATTTCCAATGAGATACGATTGCAAAAAGTCTTAGGAAAAAATTATTCTATTCAGTGACATTCTTGATTTGTCTTATTGTTGAAGACCTTAGATCCCTAAAACTCGCTTGACAAAGGTCCTAATTTTGGATTTTATGCTTTCGAGCGTGGGATGATCTATTGACCTTGAGATTTCAATTCCCACCGGGGAAAATCCCTTGCCTGTGATTGGTTGCTGTGTATTTTAGTGTGCTGTTTCTGTGACTGTCCCAAGGACGTTTCGATGATGTACAAATGAACGAGAGTTGTGTACTTGATTGTATTGTGCTTGCTGGGTGTTTGTAGAATATACTTTCTACGCTATATCAAGACTTTTTGGTCAGTTATTGGATCAGGGTAGTCTACCTGGACGCTGGTTCATTGTCTCGTTCTCGTTTATCGACTAAGGTGAACCCGTAATAGTTTCAAGGATAGTTAGTGACGAACCTAACACTTATCCAGCCAGCTTACAATTTATGCATGTGTTAAGGATAAACTATATCACTTTAGACCACATCAATGAATATCATTTATATGTTTTGTAGTCAACTTCCCAATTGCCGTTTGATTTATTTGAAATGATCAAGTTAAACCTTCTCGACTGTAGCTGCTGTCGTGACGTGGTGGTTGGGTTTATCTATCGTGATGACCCAGTCGAGCCATATTGGCTGGAACTTATGTTCCTAAGGGTTCTACCATGCCAACCAGGTCGACTGGAGAACCATGAGACTAAAAGCAGCTACTCAAGGTCTGAGGGCGAAGTCGTAGTGCTGACTGCAGAGGGGCGTGACAGCAGTAAGTTGTTTCCCTCGGACATCCAGCATCTGCAGTGATGCTGCCTTCTCATAAGGAACGAAGGGTTAGAAAAGGTCGACCCTAAAAATGTCACACCTCACCCTACCTCACGGATTTCCGTCTCCGGCGGTAGGGGTGTCCACTAAGGGCTTTTAAGAGCAGAGCTAATACTCAGAAAACCTTTCATAAAAAAGCCGTGCGTGACCGGCCTCAAGGGCGGTCAAACCGAAACATGGCACAAATCCTTGAAGTCACTGACAACTGGACTAAGCCATGTTGGTAGGTGTAGACTACCTCGTTGGGGTCTTCGAGACAATCGTCGCTGGCGGTTACAGACTTTGAATGACATGACTCAAAATCGTTTGCAATGGCGCAGATATATCCATTCTTCGTCTTCTCTCAAATTCTAATCTACTGAATTCCTCATCACCTTCATCTTCCTCTTCTCAAATCCATTTCACTAGATTCTACTTCTTGAATAATATCTTCAAACCCTAATCTCTCCGACTACCACTAATATTTCTACTACTACTTCTACTACTATGGGATTTAAATTGACAATAACATCTCTCTATGTTGGTATGTTAACTTGAACGACGTCATAGCCGACTGATTGACTGACTAAATAATTTTCCATAGTTTAGAAGCATTAAAAAAAATCTGCAAGCACATTTGAATTTCTTTAAATTTTATAGAAAAATTAACCCCTTTTAGGGTTACTGCCGGTAAGGAGGAGGGTTGTGAATGGAGGTTAGCGACACCATTCCGTAAAGATCCAACCCGCTAAAAAAAACGCGAACCAGAAAAATAATTCGCTGGTCGGCGGCCTATGCTTGATTAGGGGTAACAGGCGTAAGTAAGTAAGTTAGATAACTATTTGAATAAGATTTCGACAAACAAAATCTTATTTTTCAACAATAAGTATGATATATATATATATATATATATATATATATTACTAAAAGAAGACAGTATACGAGGTTGCGCAAGACTGTGAATTGATCGAAGTTAGACATTCACACCATTAGGTACCCGCTTAGTGGTCCAGAGGTTAGGCATTCGTGCGCAAGACCGAAGGTCCTGGGTTCGAATCCTATGAGGTGCAGGAGTCGTGGATGCGTACTACCACTGCTGATAAGTCCCACACCAGGACGAAATGGCCGTCCAATGCTTTCAGGTTTCATCTAATGGTAGTCTAACGCTGATCGATTCATCATTTCAAATGTGTAACTTAACAATCTTTACAACCCCACAATGTAAAAGATAAATAATCAATAAACATACTTGTGATTGAACTTCACGACTAATATAACGAAGTTCAGCTCCGAGTAAACTTCCAATGAGAACTACACATGGTAAACAACCAAGAAATGCAGCTGTTAATGTCGGGGATATATTTAACAATGCAAATACACATCCAACAACCTAAGTGAAAAACAGAAACAGATATAAAGATCAAATGTAAATTCAGTGAAATTTAACTACGAAATACAATCACCGACTGCCTTGATGTAGGAGTGTAGGTTGGAAGAAATCTAAGGGGCAACCAAACCAAAACAAGGCACTGACAAGTGGACTGAGCCATGTTGGTAGATGTAGACTACCTAGTTGCGGTCCGTGAGACGATAGTAACCGATGGTTGGAGACCTTGAACAACGACATGACTCTTAATAACCGTTCTCGCATGACTTTATCACCTCACACCGTTAATGATAATGATTTGAATTTACGATATGTTATTGCTGATCTACTGAAATCACGCACTAAACTCTATGTTGGAGCTTTTAATGTTCAAACCTTATATCAGACAGAAAACAAGTTTCGTTAGCTAGACCCTAAGAATTTCACACCTTTCAATGACAGACACTGCCACAGAATCTCACGACCAGTGGAGTCAAACGCCGCCAAAACGTCAAGGAATACAACTATTGTCGGATGTCAAAAAATGAGTCTATGTTTTAGGACCTGATGAAGTGTGAATATTCGGTCTATACATCCACGACCAGGACTGAAAATAACTTGGTTTTCTAGAGTCTGCTCTGTACGAGCTTCAGTCAGGTGTTGAAGTATCGTCGAAGCTAATATTAGTTAAACTAATTCCTGTGACTGACACAAGAGGGCTTTTATCCTTTCTTATAGACTGAGACAATCAGCAATTGAAACCAGTCATATGAGATTGCGTCCAGTTCCCAGATTCTAGTTAAAACCTCAGTCAATCTCACTGCTAAAACTGGACCGTCATCCTTAAAAATCTCAGAGGTTAACCCATCCGATCCTGTTGCTCTCCCTTGTTTTAGATTGCCTGCTACTACATACACTAACTGAGTAGGCTTTCTATCAACCTATCTTTATTCTGACTCCACACCCAAATACCATGGTATGGCCGACAGTGGGGAGAGTTCGCCCTCTTTCTTGATATGCTCGCATATTGCCATCCGTATGTAGCCACTGTCAGGCGAGTATTATCCACTGCCTTCTAATGGTTGAGGTGTTATTTACGAAATTCAGAGGATGAGAAGTAAATGTATGGTGCTTTTAACCGAGTTGGTGGGTATGGAAGATCCATTTACGGTAGTTAGAAAACCCTGATTTTAAGCTAGTAGTGCATATGGGCTCTATAATTCTGATTAAACAAGTGTTATGTGAACTAATTGTTGGTCACCGACTACCATCAAACTGCATCTCATAACGTTGATCCACTTCCTTATTGATTAGACATGTAGATCAAGTGTTCAGAGAGTGACTCCTTAAGAAACCACATACTTCGATCTGGGCATCCGGGCAAGACCCTGTAATGCCTCCACATATATTCCAGTTCGCTTACATCTAACTTGGTTAAGCCCATTCGATTAATTTATTTAACCAAGCCATTTGTATTGCAACAATTTATATGCTGTACCATTCGTTCTTATTATTATTGTCTGGTTTGTATGATGAGCTCACATGACGTGTTCCACTTGTCATTTGACCTTGTCAACTATTCGTCGCTTTTATTCATGTGTGCCTATTTCGCTTGTCGCATGTCTGTCTTGCATTTTTGTCTGACTATATATTCTTAGTCATGCTCTATCTCTTTGGGAGCTGGCTCATTAGTCATTCTCCACATCGCTTCCTTCGCCCATTCGTTCGCATTGTAATCCTCGGAGTTGGCTCAACAGCGCTTCTCCAATTTACGTCGCTTCATTCGTTTTATTCACTGCTTCTCCGCTTCGCTTTGTGGTGTGTCCCAAATAAACGTATTCAACACTACGAGTTCACCCTCTGATTTTTAAACCGTCAGACACTAGTTAGTAACGATTGTCTGGACGAGCTAATTACCGAGCTTAAGAACACGCAGTAAATCGACACAATACAATCCAAACCACCCACAAATTCAATAATCTGTGTGTCATATAAATATTTAGGTGCCGCTTTGCATCAATGTTTAAATATACAAATAAATAAAATTCCTCCGCTACTCTTCATGTTCGGAGCCAAATGTGGTGAGTTCCTGGGCATCTAACAATTCAGTATAGTAGTCTTGTTGGTTATATATTTGTACATGTGCTTTCTCACGCCAATCAAACTAAGAACAAGTCGGATATAGAGTTACAACTAAATCTTTAATTCCGACTCAATCAGTCAAGTCACTGATAGTATAATTTTTTTCTCTGTGCCTAAAAAATCATTCCGTCACCAATCAAAGGAAGGAGGGAGCTCCCGTGGCCGAAGGAGTTTGAGGCCACGGTGAGGCTGGTGGGTGTGAAGGGGCCCGGAGAGGAGTTGGTGGTGCTGGGGACGCTGCGGGGAGGTGAGGCAAAGGCGGTGTACGACAGCCAGGACGGCGTGGGAGACGGTCACCGGGCGGCTGATGACGGAGTTCGACAGCCCAGTAGACAGGGAGAAGGCGCTGCAGGAGTTCCGGTTGGCGAGGCTGTAGGCTGATGGTGACCCGTTGGTGCTTGCTGAGGAGCTCATCAGATTGTTGCGCCGTGCTCTGCCGAATATCGATGAGGAGTCGGGGGCACAGTTGTTGGCGTCGCAATTTATCGAGTGTGCCTGCTACCGTGTCCCAGCAGCGGGAACTAGTAAACGCTACACGATGGATAGATGCCGTATCCATTCCAGACCAGCGGGCAAGAACAATGACCGAAGTGGTAATCCGGTTGTCCCACCTGTGTTCTCGTTCACTACATTCAAAAGTTAGATTAAGTAATCTAATTGAAAATGAATTCTAGACAATTTTCTTCCAATATGTTAAGCATATAATTTGGTGGGGTAGAAAAATCAAGATTGTAACAACTATATATAATGTTTGAAATCATCAATCAATCATTGTTAGACCACCATCAGAAACCTGGAAGCACTGGACGGCCGTTTCGTCCTGGTATGGGACTCATCAGTGGCAGTGCACATCCACGACTCCTGCTCCTCGCAGGATTCGAACCCGGGACCTTCGGCATTGTAGGCGAAAGGCCCTACCATCGGACCACTGGGCCGGCATACAATGGTGGTCTAACAATGATTGATTGATAAATTTAGATGTGTAAAAACGCAAACCTCCAAAACTGTGCCCCAAAATATCGTAACAGTGCTCACTAGTGACTAGCTTCGTGAGGAAATTCTCGGAGTTCTAGTGAGAGAAGACGTGACCAATGGAGTTCAACCCTGTCGGGTGTAGGCAGTAACTACTAACAAAGACAAATGGGTGAGGTTGCGCAAAATCCCTAGATCAATCAGAGTTAGACATTAACGCCGTTGGATGCCGGCCCAGTGGTCCGATGGATAGGCGTTCGCGCACAATACCGAAGGTCCAGGGTACGAGCCCTGCGAGGTGCAGGAGTTGTGGATGCGCACTGCCGCTGATGAGTCCCATACCAGGACGAAACGGCTATCCAGTGTTTTCAGGTTTCTAATGGTGGTCTAACAATGATTGATTGATGATTTCAAATTTTTAAAAACACAAACCTCCAAAACTCTGCCCCAAAATATATATAATGTACTTACTTGAATTCCATTACGTAAACCTTGTGAAATACATTGTTTAAATGAACTTTTAAAATTTTGTACATCTGATCCAATACTGCACAGAAAAAAAAAAGAAAAGAGTATATGCAGATAAATGTCAGTCAGTCAGTCAGTCAGTCAGATGCAACGTAGAACTTCGTACGTAAGTACAACAGTTCATGTTGCCATGCCTTATCAGCACAGAGATATGATTGTCATTTCAAATCCAATGGTAGTAGAGGTAGTAAAAGTATTGGAAGTAATTGGAGAGGTTAGGATTAGAAGATATTCAAGAAATATGATTCAGTGAGAAAAGTTTAGAAAGTCGAAACTAGAGGGGTTGAAGAATCCAGAAAATTATGATTTGAGAGAACACAAAGAATGTATGCACCGACGCCATTGCAAACGGTTTTGAGCCATGTCATTCAAGGTCTCTAACCATAGATGACTATCATCTCGCGGACCCCAACCAGGTAGTCGACAATTACCGACATGGCTCAGTCCACTAGTCAATGACTTCATGGATTTCTGCCATGTTTTAGTTTGGCCGCTCCTAACTTTCTCCCAACCTTCTCCTACACTACAAAACAAAGTTCGTCGAGGCAGTCGGTGGTTAGGCATACGTAAAACATGTCCCAACCACCTCAACTGATGGAGTTTCACCACTTCATCTATTGATCTTCCATTCTTACCTAGCACCCGATTCCTAATAACAGCGTTGCTCACTCGGGTGTCCCACGATATACGAGCAATGCTTCGAAGACACCTATGATCGAAAACCAGTAACCTACGAATATCTTCTACTCTCACTGGCCATGTTTCACAGTCATAAAGTAAGACGGAGCGAACTACTGCGCAGTACACTCGTCCTTTAGTCAGCAAACGGATATCTCGCCTACGCCATAAGTGACGCAGGTTGGTAAAAGCCAATTGAGCCTTCTGTATCCGAGCTGAGATTTCGTCACAAACCAGGCTATCAGCACTGATGAGACTCTCAATATAAGTGAAGTGGTCTACACGTCCGACTACTTCACTCCTTATCACTAGATCAGGTGCCGATGCAACCCAGTCTTGAAGCAACATTTTGCATTTCAAGGGTGAGAAGCGCATCCCGAACATGCTTGCATTGTTGCTTAGGGTGGTCAGAATGCAGATAAATGAATTGACAAGAAATCAATATGATAAATTCAATAAGCAGATTTTATAATAAACCAAGTGATTTATTTTAATTGATAAGTGGCAGTGGAGCAACGTTATGAGAGGCAGTTTGATGGTAGTCGGTGACCAATAATAGGTTTACATGATATGCACCTGCGCAATTGCAAACGATTTTCAGCTATGTAATTCAAGGTATCTAACGATTGGATACTATCGTCTTGCGAACTACTACCAGGTAGCCTAAATATACCAACATGACTCAGTCCACTTGTTGGTGATTTCATGGATTTGTGCTATGTTTTGGTCTGGCCGCCGCTAGCTTTCTTCCAGCCTAATCCTACACCACCTCAACTGATGAAGTTTCACTACTTTATCTATTGATCTGCCATCCTTACCTAAAACACCGTTGCTTACTCGGTTGTCCCAAAATATATGAGCAATGCTTCAAAGACACCTATGATTGAATACCAGTAACCTAAGAATATCCTCAACTCTTACCGGCCATGTTTCGCATCGATGGTTAGAGATCTTGAACGACATGACTCAAAATCGTTTGCAATGGCACAGGTGCATTCACTGTTTGTGTTGTTTGAAATTCTAATCTTCAGAATTCTTCATCATCTCTATCTTTCTCTTTTCGAAGTTATCTCACTGAATTATACTTCTCGAATCATATTTTCTACCCCAATTTTCTCCATTACCGATAATACTTCTACTATCTCTACCACTATTTGATTTGAACTGACAATAACATCTATGTGCTAATGTGGTACGACAACCTGAACTTATGTACGTACGTAGGAAGTTCTACGTTGTAACTCCCAGACATTTGTTTAATCAGGATCGTTGAGTCAATGTGCACCATTGGTTTGAAGTTAGAGATTTTTAACTACCCTAAATGGATCCTTTATACCCCACTAACCCAATTAAAGCACAGGACATTCATTTCTAGTCCTCTCAATTTATTAAGCAATATCCCCGTCATGAGAGTGAAGTTTGTAGGACTTCTTTGTCAGTGGCTATACATATGTGTGGGCATATAGGAGCATTTTGAGAGGGAGAGGTAGGTATACAAAACTATATACAAGATCATGAATAAAAAGTCAGTCAATCATCAAAACATTAGATTTTACATTTGCCTGAATATAATTAACCTGAAACATAGACTTACATTTCGACAAGTTTGCCAGAACTATGTACATCAAAATAGGCAACATCTTGATTGATTAACTTTCGAAATAATTGAATTCGCATACGTTTAGCAATACGTTCACCAACCGATCCCAACAGTCCAATATACAAGAATGTCGATAATGACTGGTAAATTAGAGAATAGAGAATTAAAAAAACTTGTAGTGAATAAAATGGTGAAACTCAATTATAGAAACAACTCTAGAGAACCGAATCAATCTTCATCGTTCTTATGTGCTGCATATGCCTAACCACCGACTGCCTCGAAGAGCTTTGTTTTGTAGTGTAGGAATAGGTTGGAAGAAAGTTGGGGGTGGCCAAACCAAAACATGGAAGAAATCCATGAAGTCATTGACGAGTGGACTTAGCCATGTCGCTAGTTGTCGACTACCTGGTTGGGGTCCGCGAAACGAAAGTCACCAATGGTTAGAGACCTTGAATGACATGGCTCAAAACCGTTTGCAATGGCGCCGGTTCATTTATTCTTTGTGTTCTCTCAAATCATAATTTTCTGGATTCTTCAACCCCTCTAGTATCGACTTTCTAAACTTTTCTCACTGAATCATATTTCTTGAATATCTTCTAATCCTAACCTCTCCAATTACTTCCAATACTTTTACTACCTCTACTACCATTGGATTTGAAATGACAATCATATCTCTGTGCTGATAAGGCATGGCAACATGAACTGTTGTACTTACGTACGAAGTTCTACGTTGCATCTGACTGACTGACTGACTCATCGTTCTTATTCAAGAAATGACAGGTGATATAAGTGTATAATTTATTACACAAAATGAAATTTATTTAGCTAAGATGTATACTTGGCTTTTAGTCCCACTGGACTTCGTAGATGACCTGGCTCTTCTATCGCACACTCAACAACAAATGCAAGAGAAGACGACCAGTGTAGCAGCAGCCTCTGCAGCAGTAGGTCTCAACATACATAAAGGAAAAAGCAAAATTCTCCGATGCAACACAACATGCACCAACCGAATCACGCTTGATGGAGATACCTTGGAGGACGTTAACACCTTCACATATCTTGGCAGCATCATCGACGAGAAAGGTGGATCGGACGCAGATGTGAGGGCGCGGATTGGCAAAGCAAGGGCTGCATTTCTACAGTTGAAAAATATCTGGAACTCCAAACAACTTTCAAACAAAACCAAAATCAGGATCTTCAATACAAATGTGAAGACAGTTCTACTGTATGGAGCGGAAACATGGAGAACTACCAAAGCCATCATCCAGAAGATACAAGTGTTTATTAACAGTTGTCTACGCAAAATACTTCGTATTCGTTGGCCAGACACCATCAGCAACAACGAACTGTGGGAGAGAACAAGTCAGATTCCAATGGAGGAGGAAATCAGGAAGAAGCGGTGGAAATGGATAGGACATACACTACGAAAAGCACCCAAATGCGTCACGAGACAAGCCCTCACATGGAACCCTCAAGGCAAAAGGAAAAGAGGAAGGCCAAGGAACACACTACGCCGAGAAATAGAGAAAGATATGAGAGGAATGAACAAACATTGGACAGAACTGGAGAGGGAAGCCCAGGACAGAGTTGGTTGGAGAAAACTGGTGGGCGGCCTATGCTCCATTGGGGGTAACAGGCGAAAGAAAGAAGAAGAAGAAGAAGTGTGTTAAGCTTGGTGATACTGTCTGGTTGTCGAAAGTAAAGTAGGTAGGATGGGATTTGAGCCTGTTGAAAGTCAAAGGCCTTAACTATAGAACTACCTCTTCATAAAGTATGTACCACTTTTCACAATTAATAAACTTCTGGTTAGTTATTGACTTATTTTTGCTTGAATCCAAAGACCTATGGTTACGATTACTTTTTTGTGCTATAGGGAGACTTGTTCAGATACAAGAAAACGGTAATCAGGAAAATAGGGGAAGAAAAATGGAAATGGAGTACGTACATAGTTTATCTCACTAACTACTATAGGGTTTTAGTATGTAGGATAGCTATTACATAAAAAAGGATATTTCGAGAAAATCCGTAATTACAAGGCTTCGGCACCAATTTCAAAGACTCAAATATATTCTGGTAATAATATCATTTATATTAATGATTAGCAAACATATAAGCTCTTCTGAGGATACGGTTACAAGCACAAAGTCAGTATTAACACACAAATCATTTTGTCAACCTAAATACAGGAGTCCATACGAATATCATGAAGCCAATGTAGGGTCAGCTAAATGCTACTTTAAGCAGTATGAAGGACTGTGAATATATAGGTTCACTGGGAGTCACATGAATGAGTTTAATAAAGCTTCCTTGATTTCAAAGCAGAAGTCATGACTAGTATCAATAGCTATTACAGAGAGTAACTCAAATTTAAGCATACAAACCATTACATTACAAACATAAGTGGTTATAAGTGATGAATACTGTATTTGACGGTGGTGACATTATCAAATATAAAACTAATTCCAATATTTTCCAAATATTTTTCGTCATTTTAAATCGGTACGAACAGCTGCAGAGGAAATAATTTATGCGCACAGATAGTAAAGTAAGAGGCAATTTTCGAACCAGGTACCAGATTCATAAGACTGTTGTTACAGCTGATAAGTTTATATGTACTTACTGTATATAGCCATAAGAACTAAGTTTGAACACATCACGTATCAAGCAGTAGTGGATAACAGAACAAAATGATCAAAACATACTTTAAGCTGGAAAATCTGTAACAAAAATAATATATTTGTAGTATCCCGAAGCGTAGAAAAGTTGGAATATCATAAACATGTTATTTTTATCATTAACAATTCACCAAATGTTTAATTTGGTCGAAATTATTAAGTCAAATCTAGGTAATGACATTTGGAAAACCCACAGTTCGTAAGTAATAATAATATTAATAAATAGGACGGTAACACTTAAATAAGACAAAAGTACATAGCACGGAAATTTAGTTACCTGTAGTAAATAGGAAGAGCACAACCTAAGCGAAGGGACGTAAACAGCAGAAACAAATCCTTCATGAGTTATAGCGCATCTTGATAGCGATCTGACAAAATCCCCAAGATAAAGAGGTATGTACACGTTCATGATCGCAGCTAAAAATGCAGCCTACTCATAATAGGCTGAAATTTTAATCTGATATACCAGTATAGCACCAAATAAATACACACAATCGGGAAGTATCAGTGTTCCAATGTACTGGAATAGACCACCATTTTCTTTATACTTTAACTGGTCGCTTTGAAAGCTATTGCTTTCACACTGTACAGTTTGGATCCAGGATTCAGGAGATAACTTTGCATGCAGAGCTATGAAAAGTCCAGTGCCAACAGTAAGCCGCAGTGATGAACTACATTTGAAGGGCTTAACATAGGTTTTGAGGTTATAATGATCACATTTGTAGGTACTTCTAAATTGCAACACTTTGTTAGTCAAGAATCCTCTCCTACATAATACTGAGAACATCCGTAAGGCTAAGATACAACGCAGGCGGGTTCTGTGAAGGTCATTCAGTCTTCAGCTAATGATAGTGAATGAATCTTACTTGTCTCCTAAATTTTCTAAGCGCTTTAAAAGATGCTCCGGTTGATTCGGAGTTCTTTCACTTTTTATTCTCCGTACTACCATAAAGACGGTCAGACTATCATGTTTGTCAACGAAATTAACTCAACTCCTATTCGTAATTTCAACTTCCAATCAGAATTATTCCAAAAGAACCCTTCCCATCATTCCTAAGAAATTTTTCTCTTGCGTTTCAGAGTTACTGTAATGCTTAACATCTCAGTGTGCCTGATTTTAGTTACTTCTTTGATGCCTCTTATGTTGATTGTGAATTTTTCTGTCAAATAAAGTGTTTCCGTGAACTTCTGGCATACAAATTTTAGCATCTAGCGAGTATCTGCTATCAAGCGCGTTCGTGACTTGTTTTAACTCTCAGACTAATAAATAATTCTATTTTTCCTTTTTGTCATGTCATCCGTATGTTTGCATTTGTTAATTACTAACATGCAACATCAAATATGCCCCACAAATGTGCGGGAACTGGTACGTATGCGCCTGTTTACTTATCTGGATATCTTTCATACTTATAAAGGCTGAATCATCTGTTACTCACTAAGCTGGCTATTATGGCCACTTCAGTTCACTCACATTTCTTATCTTCTCGCATCGATCATCAACATCATTGAATACCCGGAACATCTGTTCCCCGAATTCTTTCACAGTCGACTTCTCCTAACAACACTGTTATTGACATAATACGTCGAAAGAACAGATACGCTGTAAATAAGATATATATTTATTAGTATCATTATACTTCGATAATGGTGGAGTCAGATAACATACCCAGGAATATGACGACGTGTTTGGTAGGATAATATACTGATCGATTTACATTGTAGGGGACGCAAGAAAGGAAGTTGGATCAAGGAAGTCTACAAATCCGTAATCGTTATGTTGTGTACGCGTGTTTTTTATCGTTCGAAGAAAAGCGGTAGGTAAAATAGTGTTTCCTACCGCTAATCCCCTGCCTAAATTTTTGTGCATGCTCGTCTATGTTCTTTTCTGAACAGGTATGGTCCTAGGTGCGATTCGTTATTAAAACGAGTCGGTAATAGTGTTGGGATGAATTGAGTTACGATAACTGTTTCACGTTTAGAGCATTTCGGAATAAGTTACACCGTGGTTCCGTATGTGGCATAAATACACCATTAATTTTTCACTGTAAACAAGACGCTGCCCTGACACACGCAGCATCCACTTAGACGGATGTCATATTGTCAGTTTACCGGTTACGGTGCACGTTACATTACAGAGGCCAGATACTTTAAGCATAAATCTCACTTTCGTACACAAGCAGGTTAAGTATAATCGTCTTTTAACTACAGCACAATATGTCCGCATACTATGAAGGCTTACTAATTCAATCTCTTCATAACATTTTGCAATAAACTCATACAACGAATTGTTTACCACGACGATTGAACTTCAGACTATAATTTCAGTAAGCTGGCCACAGGAGAATCGCAATAGATTTATTCAAAGTCATTATTGGTTTTCTATCCTCAGATACTTCCATTTTATGATTTACATCCGTACATTGTAACAATCTAACTTCTTACTTCATTGTAAGACATACTGACAAGTACTGTAACGACCGAATTTTAAGTACTTTGTTCGAATGCGGAGCTGGAGAACTTTAGCGATTTGGGATTTAACTTCAGCTTGTACAAGCAATCAAATTTGATATGAGATAAATTTTCCCCTTTACTCCCAAACATTATTCTTAGGTGGACACTGTCCGTTTGAAGGCGGCTTTTTAATGCCCGGTACGGATTAGTTTAATTCATACATCCGCATAAAGAGGCGGTCAATAAAGCGAAGCGAGGTTAAACAGAGAAAGTAAATGGGAAACTCATTCGACGAGATATGACTAAGTATTTATATTTAGGTAGAAATAAGCTGGGCATTTATAAGTAGCCAATACATGCCCCATCCATATAAAAACAACAAAGGTTGTAGGCTAATAATTAAAAAATTCAAAAGATATGTGAATGATAATTCAAGAACAATATATTGTTTAGTTTGCCAAAAACGAGGAAAAAACCATGTGGGCCAGATACATTAGATCACACCACAAACCAAAATTTATTCGATTAGACCAAAACACGCTCTTCTGTTTGGCGTACAGAGCCCCTTTTAGTGACACGTGCTAAGCCATTTCAGGACAAAGAATCTGATTTCAATTTAATCAGTTCTGGTTTAAGAAAGAGTATGAATTATACCCGAATCGCAAATCGTCTCAAACGGTTTAGCCTATGATATGTAATAAGAATGTTTCTCCAACACGAATACAGAGCACTAAACATTAAAGGAAATGGTCAATAAATAAGCTTTCGGTACCTGAAAATCAGCAGCAGTGTGCCCAGCAAGATGATATCAAATATCTACTTGCAAGGATTCCAACAATCGTTTCTGGTAGGCAGTTGAAGGTCGACAATCATTAAAGGAACAGTGCTGTAACCTTGTATTAAGTAAAAGTTGAAATACCATGCAGTACAAAGAGTATCGTTTCCTTTACAATAATAATTCACATATGTTTGTGTACACACTCAAGCACATACATTCTGACTTAGGTGTTCATTTAGAAATGAGAGTTCGTACTAAAACCTTTCAGCTCAGCCAATCAGCATCCGCGTCGGGGATTACATAGTCAGACTTTTAGGCTCGTCTTCTTAGAAAGTCAAATCATTAGTATCCGAATTCACACACTACCATCATAAGGTTATATCAAATAGCCTAGTGCACAAGAAACGAGTTCATTTGCTTTCCATTGTGGTGGCCAATTACAATGTGTTCTTAATCTTCGTAATCCGCTCGTCTAGGCAGTCAGCATCAAATAACGCCTGACGGTTATAAATCAGAAGGCAAATACGAAGTGTTGAATTCGTTTATTTTTAGAATACCACAAAATGGGACAGCGGACTACAAGCAAACAGGACAAGCACAATAGCGGGCGAATGTGAGAATGAATTGATGAAGCGAATGGGAGAAGGTTAGTGATCCAATTCCGAGAGATAAAGCATGACTAAGAATTTATAGTCAGACAAAAATAAGACAGACATATAGTAAGCGAGTAGGCATACACACACACATGAATACAAGCGACGAATGAGTGGCAAGGTCAAAAGACAAGTGGAACAAGTCATGTGAGATAGACATTGAATGACTCACTACACCGTATAAGGATAAGCAGGCTCGGAAGGTCATCACATTCCTATCCTTTGTATATTTGTGCAACATGTAAAGTTTCCAACGAATTGAAACAATCTAAAAAATTTCCTTCCACCAGAAAATAAGATTATTTAGTCACTGGTCTCATGTTTCACAATCAATTCGTAAGATTCTAGTAATAATTCAAGGCACGAAGAAGAGTCCAACTCTATTGGTGGACTGGAAAACTGTTAGGCTATACAACTAACTAACTAAATTTTGAAATCTTGCCTTCAACATTGAAGGTTTTGAGTTTAACGCCTAGATGAGTCGTCACTCCTTATAACTCAGATTTTCTAGAATAAAACAAAATATTTGTCCATTACTCTCTATTTTTTAAATAACACATCAACTGAAATCAATTCATGTTGAATACAATCATCGATAAAAATAATTTCATTCAAAATATTCGATTTATTGATTAGTTTTATGCTAAGAAATATTGAAAATAAGCAAAATAGTACAACAACAATAAGTTCAATTTATCAGAAAAAAAATGTTATCCAATGAAATATGTCCGTTTTTTTATTGAAATGTTGGTTTGTTTAAATTACCCGCAAATAAACTTTTAAATTTTATCGGCGTCATACATGTTGTATATTTATTTACATGAGAAACATGTAAAATTAATTTCTTCTTGATTCTTTCTTTAATAATGGTTGTTTTTCTTCATTTATTCTTTGTAAATTTAAATCACGCCGATTTTGTAGAAATGATTTAAACATCATTGAACATAACACTAGAACATTGAACACAATGATGACTAATAAAATAGATTGAATAATCGTTGGAATTTGAATAAGTACCATTTGTAATTGATGAATTAATGTTTGATTTAATTGAGCTGATTCATTAAAATAAACTAAAGGTAATAATACATTGGAAATTTGTGAAAGTTGTTGAATTTTTGGATTATTTCTGATGACAATATTCACTTGAAATTTACTATGTGCTTTAATTATAAGACCAGTAATTGGTTCAATATAAATTGTTGTATTAAATTCTTCATTATTTGGTTGTATACCTTCAACGGCATTTTGATATGATTTATCAGCCTATTAAAACAACAAAAACAAGTATATTTTAGTTAGTTTGGAAAGAAAAAGGACACAGTTGACTAGAGAAAAGAACATGTTAATGGTTAGATATGACTGGATATTATTGACTATTAGGTAGATGTCATTCCTCTTGGAACCCTTATGGAGTTACTGTTGGGGACGTTAGATCGCCAGGACTCACTTAATAAGTGTCTTCATTTTGGATTTTGTGGTTTCGGGCATGTACTGATCAGTTGACCTTGAGATTACACTTCCCTTGACTGTGATTGGTTGATGTGTCATTTTAGTGTGCTATTTTTGTGACTCTCCCAAGGGCGTTTCCATCACGTATAAATAAACTCCATTTGTGTGCTTGTCAATCTTGTAGTTTCTGGGTGATTGTAGAAAACACTTTCTGTGTCTTGTCAAGACTTATTCCTCTACTTAGTGGGGCATTGGGACGCTCAGATTAGAATAGCCTATCGTGTCACTGGATCATTTGTCTTTGCTATCGTTTACCGAGTAAGGTGAACTCGTAATAGTTTCAAGCATATCAACTGACGAACAAACCAGTTACTGTCAGTTTCAAGCCTGGATAAAAGATGAGGATTAGGCATGAGGTTAGTGATGGCATCGCTTAAAAAACCACCTTGCTAAATAAAACGCTAACTAGGAAAAAAATAACTAAAACCCTGAGAGTTGGGAGGTCATCGTTTAGAAGAGTTACGACACTTCATGATGAAAGAAGTTTATTTGGAAGTCTCGAGGTCGATGCCCCTCCTGAAAACTATGGCAACAATTAATATACGAACAAGGAACGTTAGAATAATTTGGGAGAGGAGAAGAACCAATCAGGTCGCCACGCAAATGAAAAGATACAAGCTGATAGTGCTTGGAACAAGTGAAACCAATTAGGCGCAGGTTTGGACAAAAATGATTAGCTTCTGGAAAGATTATGTCAGACTCCGACTATGAGGAAGAAAATGCCTCACATACACAAGGAAAAAGAGCTGGAGGTGGATTGGACACATTTTGAAGAAATTATCTAACTGCGTCACAAGGTAAGCCCTTACTTGGAATCCTCAAGGCTAAAAGAAAAGAGAAACACCGAAGAACATATTACGCCGACAATTGGAGTCAGACATGAAAAGAATGAACAACGATTGGGTAGAACTGAAAAGGAAGGACAAGTACAGAGTAGGTTAGAGAATAATGGTTGGTGGCCTATACTCCATTAGGGATAACAGGCATAAGTAAATAAGTCAGCAAATCAGTCTACATTAATATGCAACCTGGTACTAGTGTACAAATGTTATGGATTCCACTGGCTGTTAGTATTCCTGACTCTCACTTAAGCGGCCCTAAGTCCCCATCCAAGCACAGTAATAGCTTTACCTCCTAAGGGCCGTAGTACAGCTGAGAGTGCAGAGAGCTCGTCCTCCCCCTCGAAATACTATCATATGACCACTCGTATACAGCCACCTCCAGAGGAGTAATACACATTACATCTTCGTGGCAGGAGTACTGCTTAATAAATTGAGAGGACGAAAAGTGAATGCTTGGCTGAGACTAAAACCGAATTGATGAATACTCAGGACCTGTTTAGAGCAGTTGAAAAACCCTGGTTTTAAACCAGTGGTGGTGCTCTAATATGGCAGTAATCATGTTTTAATAGATAGATAAAACTAAATTACGTGACCGATTTCGAGTTAACCGATGCTGTAACTTAATTTATGTCAATTATTGATTGTGAACTCTAAAGCTCATTCATTTTCAATCTATGAATTACAACACTGAAAACGTAAGTTAGTTAGTTATCTTGTAATCAGTTTTTTTTCTGTGACAATATAAACTCATACAAAATGTTAAACAACAATTTAAACATCATCACGATATTTGTGATTGTATAAAATGTTTGCAATTAATTGTCATATTTCAATCTATGGTTATGATGGACATCTGAAACCATGAATCAATCAAAGTTAGAGAGAGCACCATTAGAAACCTGGAAGTACTGGAAGACGGTCGTTTTGTTCTGGTATGGGACTATTCATCAGTGGCAGTGCGCATCCATGACTCCTGCACCCCACAGGATTCGAACCAAGGTCAGCCGGTCTTGCGCGCGGATGCCTAACCTCTGGACCATTGAACCGGTATCTGACGGTATTAATGTCTAACTTCGAACAATTCACGGGTATTGCACAATCTCATACACTGTTTTTGGTAGTTACTGTCTATACCCAAATGTGTAACTTAACAATCTTCACAATCCCGTAATGCAATTTTGATAGAGTTCCGTTCTGTGAACTGGATGTTTTGGTTGTTCTCCTAAAACTGAAGTTCGTGTCAATCACGTTGTTCAGAAGTAAAATGTAAGCTCCACAACCAAAACATCCAGTTCAGAGAACGAAACTTTACGCTAACCATCCATCTGAGTTACGAATTTTCTGCACCATCTTTATTTTATGAATGACGAATGAAGTCACAATAATTCATGGTATAAATTGAAGCTTATCATAAGAGTAATTTAAAGATATCATGAATCAAAGTGTTATGCTCATCACTTGCTATGCTTGAAACTATTACGGGTTCACTTTAGTCGATACACGAGAACGAGACAAGGTAGACAAGGTAGACAAGAACAAGTCCAGGTAGGCTACTCTGATCCGTTGACCCGAAGGAACTAACAAAGAAGTCTTGATATAGCGTAGAAAGTGTATTCTATAAATAGCCAGCAAGCACAATGAATTCAAGCACACAAATCGCGTTTATTTATACATCATAGAGACGTCCTTGGGACAATCACAAAAATAGCACACTAAAATAACACAGTAACCAATCACAGCAAAGGCTTTTCCCAGTGAGAGATGTAATCTCAAGGTCAACTGATCAACCCATGAATAAAATCCAAAATAAAGACATTTATCAAGCGAATTCTGAGGATCAAACTTTCCCAACACAAATAATTAACAAAAATACATTGAGAAAAATAGGTACAAACTAATTTTTCAAATAAATTAGTTCAAATTTTTGACAGACAGGAATCTTGAGAATGTTTATCATCTGAAGACTTCAATAATTCCTCCACTAATGTATTCACATTTATATGCACATTGTTGAATAATCTCAAACCATGGATTACTGCATCACTTTTGGATATGGTCAATTTCTGTTAGAAACGACTTCTTATTAGAACATCATTGATTTTTTGGAGATGGTTGAATTCGTTTTTAGTGAATACTCATTGATATGATGTCTCATACTAAGATGAATACTTATTCTTTGTTCCCTGATTATCAGTGGTTAGTTTGTAACGAAAGTCAGTTAATAATTTGAACGTTCAGTGTTCAATAGTTTTCAAAATACCCTGATTTACACTTTCTATGAAAAAAAAGTTTTATTTAAAGAAACCCTAAATGACTCAAGATCATTTCAAATACTTCACTTTACATCTAGTGTTTATTTAAACAACAGTTAACTACTACCTTTTTCTGTCAGCACAGAAAAAAACTCATCCATGTCACATGTAACCTTGTTCAATGTGATCAAGGTCAATTAAAATAAAACTTCGAAATGCACTCATTTTTTTTCCTTCTATCGTTTAAATAATTAAACAATCAGAAATTTGAGAATATAGAAATTCAATCTATTCTATGACATTTGAGATAACTACTACATGTAAATATTAAACAATCGATCGATATGTATGTTGTATTGTGCGATCAAATATTCTATTCTATTTACTGACTGTGTATACAAATCAGTAGTAAGTGGTTGGTTGTATCAAGTTGACATTTTAAACAATAATTGAAAGAATTGGTTCCGGAGTTCTCAGGGGAAAGGTTGAGACCAGTTGAGTTTAACTGCATTTCGGGTATAAAGAAGGCGTTTTTCGAACGCCGAACACTGATCGAACGGTCGATCAGTGCTGTAGATAGAAGCTAGACATAGGATCACTGGATCCCTAATTAGTGGTTTTTAGGTTAAGCGTTCGTACACAAGACTGGACATCCTTTGTCCTATATTGAATCGAAAAAAGTACACTGTTGAAAAATCTCATACCTATAATGAAATCGCCATTCAGTCCAGGTAGATTCAGGAAAACGTTAATTCTCTTTTTCGAATAATAAACGTCGGTAAAAATAAGTCAGTCAGTCAGTCAGCTACAACGTAGAATTTGGTACTTACGTACATGCGTATATCAGTTCAAGTTGCCATACTAAAACATTAGCACAGAGAGATCTAGTTGTCAATTTAAATCCCATAGTGGTAGAGCTAGTAGAAGTGTTCGTGGTAATTGAAAAGACTGAAGTTCAAAGAGATATTTCGAGAAGTATAATCCAGAGACGTAAGTAAATTCAAAAACAGAAAAAAAGTTTTGAGCAAGTCAGAAGGATAGAATTTAGGCAAAAACGAAGAATGGATGCATCTGCACCGTTGCAAATGATTTGGAGCCATGTCGTTCAAAGTCTCTAACTACTGATTACATTTGTCTCACGGACTCCAATCAGATAGTCTACAGATATTAACATAGCTCTATTCAGTCGAGAGTGACCTGATGGATTTGTGTCATGCTTTAGTTTGGCCGCCGCTAACTTTCTTTCAGCCTACTCATATATCAGACAACATCACATCACCAACATGCTAACATTGTTGCTTAGGGTCATCGGAAAATTCTGCATTTAGACAGCATTTTTATCCAAACATGACTATATCACTTGCATATTGTAAGCCAATAAATGAACCTCCCGATAAGAGTTCAACTCTTATAAAGCCAAATAATGTAAGCGTTAATAAACACTTGTATCTTCTGGACGATGCCTTTCGTAGTTCTCTAAGTTCCCGCTCCATACAGTAGAATTGTCTTCATATTTGTATTGAAAATCCTGATTTTGGTTTTGGTTGAAAGTTATTTGGAGTTTCAGATATTTTTCAAATGTATAAATGCAGCCCTTGCTTTGCCAATCCGCGCCCTCACATCTGCATACGATCCACCTTGATTGTCGATGATGCTGCCC